GTCCTGTGAACTGGGCCGGGAAGTGCCAGCTTCGAGGACTCACTGGGGAGGTGGAGAGGAGGAGGCAGGACAGACTTGGGGGCCAGGAGCCGGGTGCCTCTGCATCACCTGACCTTTGCGGTCCCAGGACGTCCAGCGTGAAAGGCCCCTCTGCTCCTCAGGGACGGCCTTCCGGCAGCAGAGTGACTTTGGGCAGCCGCTCCGTGGACATCACTTGCTGCCTCTGCATGTCACACCTCGGCCCTCCACTCGCGGGGTGTGCAGATGTCAGGGAGCTGGGTCCGCACAGGTGAGTCCGTGCTGCCCCCGGCTGTGCTGCGCTCCTGCACTGGCTGTCATCTACCGGCTCTGTGCTGAAGCTCGCTCTGTTCTCTTACCTCCAGATCGCTCTCAGGGTGACTCCTCCTGTTGGTCCAGCACCACTCACCTCTGGCTGCCTGCCGTGTGGGGCAGCGTCCTCCCAGGAACCGCCTGCCAGTGCTTCTCTGGGGCGTCAAGCTCTCCTGGCCCTGCTGCAGAGACCTGGGCCCTGGGCCTGCAGCTGAGCTGCTTCCTGGCCTCTGCGGTGTCATTGCAGGAAGACCCAAAGGTTATCTCAGGTAAGATCAGTTCCGACGGGTGAGAGTGTTCTGGGGGCCCTTGAAATTTCTCAGAGTCTGTTTTTCCCTTTTCTAATAGTATCTAAAGCCCAGGCTACGATTTCCTACTTTTCTCAATGGGGAATTCCCCCGGGGAGACTGCAGCTTTGGGAGGGGGAAGAGCTTGAGGTTCCATTGTCTTTAGGTTACGTGAAACCCCATCCTTTGTCGGGTATATCTCTTGGTTTCCTGGGACCCTCGGCCACTTTCTTTCTTCACTTGAGGTCTCCCTGGAAAATTAGGTTGGTGTCTCTCCTTGGGTTCATGGATGCTGCCACTCTGTCTTGCAACAGGCAGTCTGACGTAGTCTCCGAGCTGACAGGAAGTCCAGCAAGGGCTAGGTTAGGACTTGTGTGGGTCCCTGTGCCTCATCCCCATATTCACTAGAAAGACCCACAATCTGATAGACCCTGGCTTGCCAACCTACCTTTCTCCCCAGATTTCTTGCTATTCTGATGTCCTTTCTTTCTTCCCTCTTTAGGTTGCTTGATATGATAGCCATCTGCTCAGGAGCACTAATGCTAGCTGTGTAACAAGTACCCCTGTGTCTCAGTGGGTTAAGATGCAAGAAATGTGCTTCTGGCTCCAGTAAAATCTGACGGGAGTGGTGCCGAGACCTGGACACGTCTCCCCAGGGAGTGACTTGGGGGCTTCTGCAACTCTGGGCTGTTTGTTTAGAGAGAAAGTGGGGTAACTGCGCCACCATCACACCATGCCATCGTCTGGGTGGCTCGGATGACAGGGACTCAGTTCTGAGTCTCTCAGTTCTGATGCCAGAGGTTTGAATCCACGTCGACTCCTCCTGGACACTCTGAGGGCACCTGTTTCATGCCCTCCCTAGCTCCTGCTGACCGCCCCAGGAAGTCTTGGCTTTCCTCAGCTTGTGCAAACAACTCTGGGCTCCACCAGAGCTCCACGTCTGTGTGTATCTTCTCCTTGCCTTAGTTTTCCCTTCTTACGAGGACACTTGTCACTGGAGTTAGGGTTCATCCGGGATGTCCTTTCCTTCCTATTCTTAACCTACCTACACCCACAGAAAGCCCTTTTCCAGACTAGGGTGCTGTGGAATCTCTCAGGGGCCCTTTCCATCCTGAACAAAGAATTAGGAAACAAAGTCGTGGGGTTTTACATTTATTAGAAATTAGAAGTAAGAACAGAAGGGAAAAGAAGTGTTCTGCAGAGTGAGTTCAGGCCAGTTAAAGAAAGAGAAGAAACAGAAAAGAAGCCCCTTCTGCGGAGCACAGAGGCCACCGTCTTTTCTACCGTATTCTAACTTCAGATCTTGGCCATCCTGTCAAAATCAACTCAGTCTTGTGCCAGAAAAACGGAAGACAGCATTCTCTGGTTTGTATCAGGAGCAGGGCCTGGAAGCTGTACTTGTGCATGTCTTGCATCTCTGTGATTGACAGGTCACACCCCAATCTCCTGGCCCAGGACAAGCACCCTGAGCAGTCTCTAGGAGTTGCAGGCAGGATGTTCCCTTTGGGGACGCCTCTGTTCCACCCCTCCACCAGAGGTGACACCAAGTCTTCCCCTGCTCATGCGGTGCAGCTGGTGACACTGGGTCCTGACGCACAGTGTGTGCTCACAGGACACTTTCCCTGCACTGCACACCCTTCAGAGGAGTCTGCCAGGGCCATGTCATTTTAATTCTCACCTCTGAGGTAGGCGCACTTTAGTACTCAGTTTTCAGATGAGTACACAGGGGTACAAAGTCACCTGGCAACTTTCCCTAGGTCATCTGTAGGAGGAGGAACCGCTGTTCTCACCTGACCGTGTGCCTGCTGCCCCTAGAGGGCGCCACCTCTGACTGCATCCACCGGGGCCATCTCTCCTTGTTCCCTTCCCCATCTGTCCTGAAGCTGTCCCATCTCGGGGCCAAGCTGGCTGCACCGAGTGCTTGTGGGAAAGTCCTGTCCTCTGAGACGTCCTTCCTTCCACCCTGGGAGTGTCTCCCCTTCCCTCTCTCCACAGTGACCTCCTCAAGGGCAGTTGGGGACCTACAGCAGAGACAAAGTTCCTACTCTCTAGTCCAGGAAGTGGACGAGACCCATAGACGGGACTGACCGTGCAGATTTCTCAGGTAGATGAGAGCAAACGTCAAGTTGACCAGGCCAGAGCAGAGGAGCCGGCGGGCGAGCCTGTGTACCCCTCGAGATCACTTATTGACTTTTGAGGGAAAGGAGACTGCAGATTTACTTCTGTCTTAGCTGCTCTCAGGACTACATTTTGGTGTCTCTCACACAATCTACCTTGAGCTGCAAGACATCCATTGGCAGATTGTTTGAAGCAGGTCCAAACTACCTTGTCCAACAGAGCCAAGGAGCACATTTGTAAGCAGGAGGGCCTCAGTTTCATGGTGGGTAGGGAGGAGGGGACAGGGTTACTGTCTCTCCCCCCGCTGCCCCTTCTGCTCTGGAAAATTTTCTGCTGGCTTGCAGGAGATGTGAGAGACAGAGAGAGAGAGAGAGAGAGAGAGAGAGAGAGAGAGCACCATGCTTGTGTAATTGTGTATTTCATTATCGAGTATTGATCCAGATCTGTCTCGCACATGGATCTGACAAATATATATATTTGAAAAAATAAAGACCAGAAGGAGGAGGCGTTCTTCTGTTCCGCTGTTGTTATACCCCCCAACTGTACCTATATTGGGTGGGGCTCCTTTATTCCTTACAATGTTTCTGTTTGGTCCTACACTTCAGCCACAAATCAAACTTTCTCTGCTTGTCATGCTGATCCTTATTGTGTTCAGGGGATCACCGTTACCCCACAGTTCTTTGGGCCCTGGCCTGTGTATTACACATCGGTTTTGTTAGCCCTTGGGGCCAATGCCGCCTCTGATTTTCGCCGACAGTTTGGAACCTGCTGTCCCCCACCTATTTTCATTATACCCCAAATGTTCCTACGCTCCCCTTTGCTGCCTGCCTCCCGTCCCTCTTCTTTTCTATTCCGGCCAATTCTAGCCTCAATGAAAATGCGCAAATACGTATCACTCCCTGCATCAACCCCTCGTGTTTCACCTTCATTCTGCCTGGTGTATTTATACTGGCAGGAATCCACCAGCAGTGTGGATCCCAGTTAATTTAGCTGAGGAATGGAAAGGCAGCGACCCCTCCCTCGATTCGCTGCTCCACCTCTTAGGCATTTCAGCCGTAGCTGCCATCATAACATCCACTGTTGCTTCAGGATCCACGCGCCACAGCTGCAGCCACGCTCTGCAATCAAGTTGCCACCACTACAGGTGTCAGTAATGTGGCTCATAACACTTCCCTGGCTCTCGGACAGTCAGCGACACTTGATGTCCATGCAGCTGTGCTCTCCTTACAGACTCAGATGGATGTGGTATGGGAAGAATTACAACTGTTACAAACAAAGGTTTTAGTAGACGTCGTGCCAACTTCCCAGATATTTGTGTTACTCCATATCCTTGTAAAAATTGTGATGCTTACCAAAATTTGTCAAATTATATCTAGAAAACTTGGGATCCCTTGTTTTGTAAACATTGGTAAAAATTGACTCATATCATTGTAGCAATTAATAATACCCAGGCATTCGATGCAGTTACTCTTTTTTTTTTTTTTTTTTTGAG